GTGAGAGAATTTGCATATGTCTGGAAATAAAATCTGCAGCCTTCTTTGATTGGTGGAGCGGCAAGGCCGGGCCTTGTATGGTTAGTGGTACTAGGCTTTAGGAAGCTTTTTTCAGGGTAATTCTCTTCCAACATTACAGTAATCGATTGTTTGCAGGCTTGAATTTAAATCTATTTCACATCAACATATTCAATATACGTAATCCGTCTAAAAAAGTCTGCTTTATATAGGACAATATTTGATCATTCGCAAAATAAATACACGGATAAGAAAAAACTGAATTATACAATAAATAATGGGGCCACATTTGGACGAACTAATCTCAGCGGGCGACTTGCGGTTGAATGGCGAACAAACACGCTGTCCGGGAGCTTGAGAGGCGCACTGGAGATAATAAATAAATTAAAGTGCATATCTAAGACATGCTGATAGCAGCAGCGTTTCTCCCCCACAAGGGTCCGATCATGGAGATGCGACTCAGAGCACGACCAGTCAGTGTCAAGCGGTCAGCCAGGCAGGCAATCCACACAAATCTCGTCTCGTCTTGGGTCTGTGTCTACTGCGTCGATTGCAACCTAATTCAATTAAAATTAAAACGCAAATTCTACGCCACAAAGTGGAATTGCCCCAAATTTCCGACAATTATATGAGGAAATAGTCTGTTGTCAGTTGTGTGTGTGTGGGCAGCGATATCACCGACCATGAGCTCTCCCGTGGAAAGTCTCCCAATGCTGCGCTCCGCATCGATGCCCGTGAAGCCCAAGCCCCTCGAGACGAAGCCGCTGGCACGTTCCAGCGAAAAGGAAACGGTCAACGAGGCGGACTACTACCCAGAGAGTCCAGGATTTGTGAGGCGACGTAGATCCCGATCGCCCGGCGATCACTTCGAGACGCGCAGTGAGCAAAAGTGAGCAACAGTTTCCCTTTTTAAATTATTTGACTAAGAAATTGTCTCCCCCCCACGCAGCTTTCCCTATACACACGACTGGGCGGGCAGCACCATTGAACTGACGCCCGAGTCCGCCATCCATGCGGAAGGCCACAGGCGCAGTCTGCATCGTGTGATGGAGAAGAATGGCAACGAGAATGTTGTCTTTCGTCGCATACCAGAGAAGTCGTGGCGCTATATGCGCGATGTCATCACTACGCTGGTAAGATCCTGGTTTGGCCACAAGCCCAAAGCATCACCAAAGATCATCGCAGAGTCAACGCGCTCGGATGTGTACAGCATAACGCCCAGCATACAGCGAAAGTTGGATGAACTGGCCAAAGAGCCGCCGGCAAAGTTGCAGCATCCAAAGACTAATCCCGAACAAACTGAACGCGTAACGTTTAGCATTTAATCAATCAATCATCTCTAAGCAGAGCCCCATGACTAATAAACAATATTTTAACACCAAAAACTGCATCCCAGAATCACTTCTAATCCTTGGGGACCTTTCCTTCGTTCATTGACAGATGGAACTGGAGTGGAAGTACATGTTGACCTTGTTCCTGGGCAGCTACTTCCTCAGCTGGCTGCTCTTTGCCGTGCTCTGCTATGTCGTGTCGTGGTCCCATGGAGATTTCCTCTTCGATGAGATCAGCGGCGTGCGGCTGGGCGAGGGCGACAGGCCGTGCATCTATGGCGTCACATCCTGGGTCACCATGATCATCTACTCGGTGGAGACGCAGACCACGCTGGGATTTGGCGAGAAGTACGCCAGCGAGGAGTGCCCCGAAACGGTGTTCCTGTTCATCATGCAAATGGTCTGCGCCGCCCTCATTGAGGGGAGTATGGTGAGCCTTATCTATGCGAAGACAGCACGCCCCGCCAGGCAAATGACAAAGCTCAAGTTCAGCGATAAGGCGGTGGTGAGTCCCAGAGGAACGAACTCTCCATCCCAGTCTATCATTTATCATTTTGTTCAGATCTGCTATCGCGATGGGAAGCTGTGTTTGCTCTTTCGCGTGTGTGATCCACGCGAGCAGCAGTCCATTGAGTCCAAGATACGCGTCTACATGATTGTCGACAAGCGGTGAGTCATCTATTGAGTCTCCATCTACCAGCTAATCGCTTCCCTTCCCTCGTTGCAGCACACGCGAGGGCGAAATCATTAAAACTCACACGGAACTCAAGCTGCAGGGCAATGGCGAACAGTTAATATTGTGGCCAGATCTCGTGTGCCATGTGATTGACGCTTCCAGTCCGCTGCATCAATTCACCAATGCAAAGTTGTTCAATGCCGCGCAGTTCGAGCTTTATGTGTCCATTGTGGGCACCTCCCCGGCCACCGCACAAATGACGGAAGCCAAAACTTCGTATGTGCCGCGTGAGATCTTCTGGGGTCAGCGTTTTGTCAACATTATACACTACGATGCGACCAACGAGCGGTATGTGGTGGACTATGAGAACTTCAATAGAACCATTTCCGTGGACATGCCACTGAAGCAGCAGCCAGCCAGCGATCATCTACGACTGGAGTACAAAAGGGATTGAAAGGCAAAGCTTTCTGTGTACAAAAGTTCTTTAAAAGATATATAAATAACAAACAGTTTTCGTGCATTAAAATAGATTAGTAAAGATAAAAGCAAACTTCACAATCACTCGCCAGCGGATCCTGCGTTATCCTCGCGTTCTCTCAGCAGATGCTGCACCTGCGCCTTGAGCATTTGGTTCTCGTGCTGCAGCCGTGAGAACTCGTACATGAAACGATCGCCCTGCAGCAGCAGCGCCAGACCGTCGCGTATCTCTTGCGTGTTCTCCAGCTGCAGATTCCAGTAGCTGGATATCTGTCCAATTATTTGCCACTTGTTCTTCTCGCCCGCATACTTCAGCTCCTTCTCCAGCTGCTCGATGCGTTGCTCCATCGAGTCGCGCAACTCTCCCATCTCCTTGCGCACATCCGCATCCACCTGGGCGGACAAACCGCTGGATGACTTGGCCAGCAGCTGCTGCGGCTTCAGCAGCGTGCTCGACGACTGTGGCGTGATGTTCACGTGGTGTGGCGTGCTGTTCCTGCTGGCCGAGAGCATGCGCAGGCGGCGTTTCAGCTCAGCATCCGCCACTCCTTGGGGATTCTCCTTGTCGCTGCCCGCTGTGCTGCTGGAGCTGTTGGCCGATGGCACGTCCCGCTCGCTGTGCTCGTCGGTCTCGGCGATTTTCATTAGTTTCGCATCGCCAGAAATGTTGCTGCGATCCTTAAGCGGTCCGCTCAGTGTCTCTACAAGAGATTGGACACTTAACAAATGGAATGAGCTGCGAAGACCTCAACTTACGTTGCAAAGACTCGGCATTGGAGCTGTTACACGAGTTATCCACAGAGCTGAGACCGGAGCCACCCGCTGGGCATATGCTCAGCCGCTGCGTATTGTCAGTGGGTTTGCGGCCCAAAGTCTCCCAGTCAAAGCTGTCGCGGTGTAGGGTCAAACGCGTGGACATGCGCTCGACGGACCGAGGACCCTGGGCATCGAGAAAATCACAGAATGAGTCCCGCTGTGGGCGCGCACTGCCACCTCCGCCCGTGCCGTAGCCCAGGCTGGCCATGCTGTTCAGCTGCTGCTGCGTGTTCAGCAAATTGGCGGCAATGGACTTGCGCAGCTCATCACTAGGCACGCGTTCCACTTTATTCGCTTCGGCTGTTACATTGCCCATGCTGGAGAAGCTGCTGCTCTGCTGCTCCTCCGTGGGCGTGGGCACAAAGGCCACACGCATGACGGCGCCATCGTGGACACTGCGCACGGCCAGCGGTGACTTGGTGTTCCTTATGTCGTAGGCAATCAGTTCACCCTTGAGATTACCCGCACAAAAGTACGTGCCGCACTCGCTGAGCGCCACCGTGGACAAGGGATGGGAGTAGGTGAGGCGACTGGTTGCGGGCTGTGCCCGATTTCGGCGTATATCAAAGATATTTATCTTGCAGTCGTACCCCACGCTGACCAGCAGCGAGGGCTGTCCCGTGCACATGCTGACGTCCCGACAGGGCGCATCATGGGCATCGCTCACATGAAAGATCTTCCGCTTGCTCTGGAAATCGTAGACAGTGACGGCGCCCTTGTACGAGGCAATCGACAGCTGAAAGCGTTTGCTGGGATGAAAGCGAGCCAAAGTGGATCTGCAAAACAGCAAGAGAGAGGATGAGTTCACAGTTCCCAATTAAACGCATTATTTATCCACTCACTGCTCATCGATGGTGAATGTGTTGACCTTTTGCTTGGTTTTCGTGCCGAATATATTGATGGAGCCGCCCTCCTTCACCGCTGCTATATACTCGTCCGTGCAATTGTAGTCCACATAGACGACAGTGCTGCGCTGCTGATCCGCTGGGAATCTGTGGATTAGCTGCGCGGTGCGATAGTTGTAGATCTTCACACAGCCACTGGACTGGCCCAGGGCGATCTCCTCCGCCGTCTGCTTCGCACAGCAAACACAAAAGGCATTATCGATGGTTAGTTTGCGCACTCGCTGTATCTCGGGAGCTGCCAATTGGATGGATATCTTAGAGGTGTCAGCATGGACTATGGTTATTTCCAATTACCTTTTTCCTCCTTCTCTCGTATGCGCATCACAGCCAAGCCGGCCATCTTATCCACCTCGACGAAGACCCGTCGCTGGGCATTGAATTGAAAATCTGTAGTCTCTCCATTTGCATGCACATATATTGACTTTGTCTCCAAGTCGGCAAAGTCGGAAAGAACGGTGCTCTTTGAGGTTGAAATTAAATGCATGATTAAAACAAATAAAAATTTCAAATTTGAGTGGGAAAATGCTGCTTGCTCAGTGTGACCGCGGAAAACCAGCAAATACCGCCTGACTATCACAAAAATACCGAAACGATCACCTTGGTATCGATAGCAGCTGATGGTGCTATTGGACGTTTCCACTGTTCTTCGTCTGTTGCAAGATTTTACTGTTTGATAATTTGACATTAACCCCATGCATTGATTTTTACTTCAGAAACGTTGTGATTTTTAGCAAAATTTGAAAGTGGCAAATGTTCAAGAGAACAAAAAAAAAGTTTCGTATGGGCACTGTTGCTCTGCGAAAATCGGTGTGAGCGGCTGAGCTGGCCTTGGCAGCAATACTGATCGCAATCCCTGGGACTAAGGTATATTAAATTCTTTTCTAGCTCTTCTTAGGGACAATTGATTTGTCAATTTTATAAAACAATAGTAATTTGCTAGTAATATTAAAATTAAAATCAAAATCGTGGAAAATTATGTTCACCGGTATATTTTGAAAAAGGAAATGTATACGTCGGTATATTTCTGAGGATTTAGATGTTATCGTTAATTCTGCGGTCACACTGACCACCATCACCTGCAAAAAAGAAAAAAAAAAACAATATTTTCCAAGAAATGTTAAGAAGTTTGTAATTTTTCCAATTGCCCTTCGCCAATATCCTTTTACGCACTTAGCATCGTTATTGAAGCACTAACAACGCAATATTTTCCACCCCGTTTGCAACAGGAAAAGCATTGGACAAAGGCCAACCACTACAACAACACTAGAAGCAGCGAAATTGTGACACACACACACGCAGCCGTGAGACAGCGACACCAAAAACAAGGAAACGGACTGACCCATCACCTGCTGCAAAAATGGAGGCGGACGGACTTACAAATGAACAGACGGAGAGGGTCCTACAATTTCAGGACTTGACCGGCATAGAAGACATGAATATATGTCGCGATGTGCTCATCCGACACCAATGGGATCTCGAGGTGCGGGTACACGTACACGTCAGGGTCAGCAGATTGCTAAAATTAAACATTTTTCGTTGCAGGTTGCCTTCCAGGAGCAGCTGAACATACGCGAAGGTCGACCCACAATGTTCGCCGCCTCCACAGAGGTACGAGCGCCGGCTGTGATCAATGATCGTTTCGTGCAACAGGTTTTCTCCGCGAATATGCCCGGTGGTCGGACGGTTAGTCGGGTGCCAAGCGGACCAGTTAACCGCAGCTTTAGGGGCCTACTGGGCTATGTGATTAACTATGTATTCCAATACTTTTACTCGACGCTAACTGGCATTGTCAGTGCATTTGTGAATTTCGGTGGAGGAAATGAGCCACGACTGGTCACGGATCCCCTGGGCGATGTCATGAAATTCATCCACGACTACTATGAGCGATATCCGGAGCATCCCGTCTTCTATCAGGGCACATACGCACAGGCCCTGAACGATGCCAAGCAGGAGTTGCGCTTTCTGATTGTCTATCTGCACAAGGATCCCAGCAAGAACCCCGATGTGGACACCTTCTGCCGCGAGACGCTTTCCTCGAGATCGGTCATCGACTATATCAACACACACACGCTAATCTGGGGCTGTGACGTGTCCTCCCCCGAGGGCTACAGAGTCATGCAGTCGATTACGGTCCGGAGTTACCCCTTGATGGTGGTGATTAGTCTGAGAGCAAATCGCATGATGATTGTGGGACGTTTCGAGGGCGACTGCACTGCCGAGGAGCTGCTGCGACGACTCCAATCGGTGACGGCCGCCAACGAGGTGTGGCTGAGTCAGGCTCGTGCCGATCGCTTGGAGCGCAACTTCACACAGACCCTACGGCGACAGCAGGACGAGGCGTACGAGCAGAGTTTGCTGGCCGATGAGGAAAAGGAGCGCATACGGCAGCGGGAACGGGATGCGGTGCGTCAAGCGCAAGAGGCTGAGGAGCGTGCCAGGCAGAATGTCGAGCTGCGCAAGGAGGAAATCGCCAGGCAGAAGATCGAGTTGGCCACCCTAGTACCCGCCGAGCCGCCCGCCGATGCTGCGGGCGTCATTGCAGTGGTCTTTAAAATGCCCAGCGGAAAGCGACTCGAGCGGCGGTTCCATCAGACCAATTCGCTTTTGGTAAGCAACGGAATTTGCACCTGGCTGAACCTCTTTTCATTGTATTTCTTTCATTTAGGATGTCTACCACTTTCTGTTCTGTCATCCTGAATCGCCGGATGAGTTCGAAATCACAACGAATTTCCCCAAACGTGTGCTCTATACGAAGGCAGAAATTGATGGCGCTGAGGGCGCTGCAAATGAGACTCTCAACAAAACGCTACAGGATGTGGGCCTAAAGAATCGCGAGGTGCTCTTTGTAAATGATCTGGAGGCGTAACCAAGCATCGCACCACTACCAAATGATAGAAACGTGTTACCAGCTGCAACGCATTACCAAAACTTGAGCCAAGTTTTAAGTAGTCCGTAGTTCAACGTCCAAGTTGAAGGATAAACCGAATGCAAACAAAACCTATTCCTAATTTTAACATGAAGCATATTAATATAAATAATTGTTTAACAATGTTTAGGTTGATTCTTGTAATCTATTGTAGCCCGCCTCCAAAACACACACCCACACACACACCAGAAGTAAATTATGCCCTTTAAAACATTTTCCATAAACAAATATTTGTTTTCCTTTTTATTAAGATATTTTGTTGTATTAGCTGTACTTAAACATTCATTTATTTAACAAACTTAATAGAAACAAACTAATTGACAAAGATTTGAATGTTATTTAAACAATCATAATTGAGTACAAATTTAAACGATTTAGTGGGTTAATCATCACTCATAATTTATGGTGCTCGGTATATTCGTGCGGTATATTTTATCAAGAAATCCGTAGGCACAAAATCGATTCTAAACAGGGTGATCTTTACGGTTTATTAAACATTTTCATTTTCATAAATATAATACATTTATAGTTTTAGTGATGAGAGTCATAACTAGCTGGTATATAAACAGAAGATCAAAGTCGAGGAAAATTATTTTTGACTTTCTTATTTACAGTATATTTTGAAAATGAAATTGTATATTTCCGTGGGTCTGTCGGTATATTTTATCGATAATTTCGCGGTCACACTGTTTAAACCGTTGTTTTGTTTTGCCGATTGACATTTCTGTAAAAAATCTCGTATTATCGTAGAAAAAACATTTCAATTCACTTTTTTTCGAAGCTGAGTAAGTATATTTAGTTACGTTTACAGAATAATTATGCATGTTGGTAGTGGTTTAAGTTAATATAAATGCGGAATCGCAAATATGGCGTCACAGCTTGCACCAATACATTCACACACATGCAGGTCTGCAATTTATGACAACGGCACTTTGATCTCAAACCATTTTAAGGAAAATGCCGAGTAAAAATAAGATTTTAGCTAAAAACAAAAGCCCGGAGCCAGTTTTACCGAAGCAGTCCTATAATTCCTCCACTGTTTCTGGCTCGGTCAATATTGATTCTAACGATGCAACAGGATCACATCAATCCCGTTTGCTCCAGTCATTCCTGAAAGGACACAGCAAAGCAGTCGAAAACGTAAAACGCAATAACATGGAGATTGCAAAAAAGATGCATAAGCATACGAAAGCCACTTTGGAAACGAAAGCTGAAAATGATCATCTAAAAATACAGTATGTGGGACACACACAGTGTGGATGCGCATTTGTTTGAAGCCGAGTTTTTTATTTTAGATTAAACAACGCGGAACTGGAGCTGAAGGAACTGAAGAAAACGCTCGAAGGGGTAAAAGACAACAACAATCAACTCAATGAGAAATACATAACGGTTCTTCAGAAGTACACGCACTGCGAGAAACACTACGACGAAGAGCAGAGCAAGATCAAAACCACAACCAATCAGCTAAAAGCAGAAATTAAAGCGAAACAATCTCGCATTGATGAATTGCAGCGCGAGGTACAGCATTAATATCTAGTCCTTTCTACTATCTACTAACTATCTACTTTCAGCTCAAAACCGTGCAGGAGAAATGCCTCGAAATGAGTGCCCAAGTTGTTGCTGCGACACAAACTCAAGAGCAGCAAAGGGCCGAATTGCAGGAGATGCACTCGCAGCTTTTAGAGCACGCGAAGGAAAAGACGGAGGCCACTAACGCTATGCAGAACATGGAGCAACAATTGGCTGCCCAAAAGCAGCTCCACGAGGTACTAGATTGCTGTCGGACAGTGGCAGTATTTAATTAATTGATTTTCTCGTACAGAATTGCGAATTGAAGTTAGCAGAGAGCATTCTGCATATATCGCGCATTGAGAACCAACTAATCGATTTGGAACAGCGCTGTTGCGAGCTTCAGCAGTACAATGATACAATCAAAAATGAACTTGTGCTACATCGAAATCAACTCGAAGCTGCCAAAGCAGAGAATAAGGAAAAGGACAGAGAAATCAACACTCTAAGAGACAGCCTAAATCAAGCAGAGAATTCTAACCACGTTTTGGTACAGGAAGCCGAAGATGCCGCTGCAAGGTTTGCCACTGCAAAGACAAACCTTGATCAAGTATTAAATCAAGAAAAAAACCAACTCGAAGCCACGATTGCACGACTTAAATATGAGCTGGAGCAGCAGAATCTGGCCTACGGCGATATGGCCACACGAAACGCACAAGAAGTAAATGACATACACGTCATGCTTTCCGATCTGCAAGACAGGCTCAATAAGAGCGAGCAGCATTGTCGCGAGCAAGAACTGACCAAGAAACAGCTGGACAGCGGGCATCAAATGGCAACTCGCCGCTTGCAACAATTGCTTAAGGCTGCCAATGAACAACTGAACGAACAATCTAAACAGAACCAGGCCTTAGTGTCGCAGCAACGCGATGAAGTGGAGAACCACAAAGAAACCATCAAGACACTTCAAGCTAAGCTGGAGCAACATGAGAGTAAAGTAAATGCACAGCAGCAGCAGATACAACGCCTGGAGGCTGAGAGAGACACTCTGGAGGTCAAGGTGGCGCAGCTACTCGCCAAAACAGAAGAAATCGTCAGGGAATTGACAACAGCAAAGTCCAAATTTAAGCAAGAACTAGAGTTTCACAAGGACACCGAAAAGGTAACTGCAATTGAAAAAATTAAATTTAAACTAAGATTTTCATTTTGCAGCAAAAAATGGCCAGCCTGCAAATGGAGTTAAGCAAAAAGAAAGACGAAATTGCCGAGCTGGAACGCAAAAAGGATGTGAGCAAGAGAGCTCTCAATTCTCAGTGATCTTTGTGCTAATCTCTATTCTGTTGTCAGGGTATTATTGCTGAGCTGAAATTTAAGATGAACCGCATTGGCAGTGTGTTTGAGCAGCCTGTCGGCAGTGTGCTAAGTGTGAGACCGGAACCGACTACCCAAACCAGGAACCCTGAATCGCTTCAAGTTGTTGAAAGTCCACCCGCTACTTCACGTAAGCGTTTTGCAGTTGCCCAACGAATTGAAGCCATATCGGATTCCTCGGACTTTCTCAGCGATAGCGAACTGGCTCCACTCCCACCAAAGGTGGTATGTATTCATCAACTTATATATTTGTTTGGTTTGCAATTATCTAAACTATCTCTACATTCTTTTACTCTTACAGAAACCTCAAAATAAGAGGGGATATGCTGCAAATGCCAAACGCGCTCGTTTGAATCAAAATCAAAAGGAAAACAATGATATTTTCGACAAGTTAAAGGAAGGCGCTTTAAATGCTTAAAACACTATTTAAATTTTGAACATTAGAATTGGTCAAACCATTTCGTCTTAGCCGTAAGACGTTATTTAAAGCGTTTCCCAATCTAGTTGGCATCATTACTGTTGATCAGTACATCTTTGACAATCTGCTACGCTTAGGCAAGTCGTATTTAAGAGACATCCCGGATATTCTTACTGATTGTTAAGTAAATATATGAAGAATAACTAATATCATACTTATTCAAAATATGGATAAATTGTAAAAGTTCCTTGAGAACTAAAGAAACACATATTAAGCCATAAACATTATTCATATGAAGAATTCACTTATGTTTCTTCAATACCCAGCTTAAAAATGTATACCTATTTCTTCTTTATAATTTGTATTTGTCTATTAAAAGTTTTGAACAACTAATTGGCATTGCCAGGCATATGTATATGTATATTGCTAAAATTTTACATTTCTTTAAGGACTTTTACCAAGTCTTATTCGAGTTGCTCTCGAACCCATGGTTTTTCGACTTTATTTACAGGCTCAATATTAATCAATTTTGTAATAAAACTAAGCATTAAATTTGAATTTCGAATAAACGTATTTTTAACCCGCAAACGAAAGTAATGCGTTCTTAGATGCACAATTCTGGTTGAGACCTTGCAGCTTGCGGCCATAAAGCTTTCTAATTTACATAATACAATTCAAGCTGCGATGAAATGAAACTAAATTTAAGTGTTGACTTAGAAACGGAAATATTCATTGCTTTTAGTAGGCCAATCACCATCTGTATAATGAATGGTTATGGTCACAGACAACTTAAATCATTAACAGATTTGTTTAACAAGTTTAAAATCTCCTGGATGCGACGATTTATTATATTGGAGGTCGCACCTTGGATACCCTAATATACAATTCTCTGATTTGAAGCGAATGATATTTATGTTTATATGTAAGTACATGTTTATATCCGTTTATCCATTTGTTTATTGTATATTACAATTTGCAAAATAACTGTTCTACTAATATTGTGGGGTAAGGTTTTTCGAAAGATCATGATTCTTAAAAAATATAGGGTATTCGCGTTATTTGCACATCTATATACAGAATTAGTATATGTTTGGTATTTTTTATTATTTCAGTAGTTCAGACGGTATTGAGAAATCCGCGGTCACACTGAGGCAGACGACAAGACGAACGTCGAAATTTTCGACAGATTAGCAATAAATTTGTAAAAAAAAGTTAATAACACCATGCTGAACGCTGTGTCGCGTGCATACGTGCGTGGCGGTGCCCAGGCGCTGTCCGCTGGCCTCAAGACGAGCGGCGCTGCTGTCAATGCTATTGGTAAGGCCAAGGCCCATCGGGAAAAAACATTCATTACATAATGAAAGGAGTACGGAAAAGATATATTTAGTGCACTGGCCCAATGGGAATGCAGTCTAGCCATTTGTTAAAGGATATCTAACCCGATTTGGCAAATTTCCTTACGTAATTTCAACATAACCTCGCCCTGCGCTGGGCTGGCCAAATGAAAACAATTTCTGTGCGAACGAGCGTTTGAGGCAGAGACACAAACACAGATACACTTGCCGAGCCTTTTGCGAGATTCGTATTAAAAAAGTTTCCCCTACTTGCAGCTAGCCGCCAGGCGCACACCGATCTGCAGGTGCCCGACTTTACCGCCTACCGTCGCGACTCTGTCAAGGATGGACGCCGTCGTAACGAGTCCGCCGAGGAGCGCAAGGCCTTCTCCTACCTCCTGGTTGGTGCCGGAGCCGTTGGCGGTGCCTATGCTGCCAAGGGGCTGGTCAACGCCTTCCTGGGATCGATGAGCGCCTCCGCCGATGTGCTGGCCATGGCCAAGATCGAAATCAAATTGTCGGACATTGCCGAGGGCAAGTCCGTGACATTCAAATGGCGTGGCAAGCCGCTGTTCATCCGTCATCGTACCCAGGCCGAAATCGACACGGAACGCGGAGTGCCCACATCCACGCTGCGTGATCCAGAAACTGATGATGTATGTAGAACCTAGATCCCACACTAAAACTCAGGCTAATTGTGTCTCTTGCAGCAACGCGTGATCAAGCCCCAGTGGCTGGTGGTCATTGGTGTGTGCACACACTTGGGTTGTGTGCCAATCGCGAACTCTGGCGACTTTGGTGGCTATTATTGCCCCTGCCACGGCTCTCACTACGACGCTTCGGGCCGCATCCGCAAGGGACCGGCGCCACTTAACCTGGAAGTTCCCACCCACGAGTTCCCCGATGAAGGCACCCTCATCGTTGGTTAGAAACATTTAACTACAGTGCTGTTATCGTTTAAGCCCCGCAGAAGAAAAACCAACAAAATAGTCAATGGATTGATGTAAATTAATAAAAACCAACCAAACTGAACTGCTGCGCACAAAATTAAGTGAAAAGTTTGTGAACAATGAAGATGGAAGTCCCAGACTAGTGGCTGAATAATCTCTTAACATCTTATCCTAATAATACTCAACGATAAACGGATGAACCTACAAAGCATCACCGTCGTTCAATTCTCTTCTCAATCTCCAGTTCGAGCAGATGGTTGTTCAGGCGCAGATTGTGTAGCTCTAAACGTTTCTTCTCCATTTCAATGGAATGGCTCTCTGCTCGTCTAGCGTTCTCATCGCTATGGAACTGCTGTTGCATCTGTAACAGTGCCACGCTTTCCACCCAATAGTTTTTCTGTGCATCCTATAAACAACAAATTTGTCTTGAGAAAATGTAGTTTAAGGCGGCTGCGGCTTACCTGACTAAATTCCGAGTAGCTGGCTTCATATTGGGGATCGCTTGGCGCCTGATTGTTGCTTTCTGCAAATGAAGTGGGACTATTATTGGATTGCAAATGTGTGCCTGGCCACTACTTGCCTTCAAAATCGTTCACTGACGGGTGGCAGCTTTCGGAAAGGTAATTCCCATTCGTAGCATCGTTTGCCTCCTCCGACTGCCATGAAACGGAGCCCAGTGTCTCGCTAGTGTACCGCCTTTCCTTCCTTTTCGTATGGGTATATTTATCACGCAGCGCCTCCCCGGTGCGAGCGACACCTGACAGCATGCAGAACTCTTCAGCTATTTTTTCCCAAGTGTCGGATTTCTGCTTCCAGGTGGCCGCATCGTTTTTCTTGACCGATAGCACATCCTTGTGCGTATCCACCAGTTGCAAAAGAATGCCCTCCTCTGCCACTGAGTAGTTTTTTGCACGGGATCGCTTCAGAGTTCTTGGCATTGTTGGCTGTGGTGGTTGTTGCAAACAAAAATCAGCTGTTTCTGCGGCACTGCCGCTTTGCTGGGTGGCGTCGAAGCAATTGTCTTTCATGTTTATGCGGAGTTGTCATACAGGGTTGTCATGCGCGAGTTTCTATGCAAAGGAGCAGCAAATGTTGACGGTTGAAAAATGTTTTAAAAACGTTAACAAGCGAGGGCTACTTGATCTGCGATATATCATCCATCCCCGTTTTTACGAGTAAATATTCAAAGCTTCCGAGATTTTTTTGTTGCGAGCCGACGGCGTAACTTTTAATGCAATTTCTTTGGTTGATCCTTTTAGTTTTAACCTTTTTTGCAATCAATCCAATGAAGATAAGCCATGAAAATCAGCCAATCTTGTGGAGAATTGAATGATGATTCGAGGTAAACTACTATTTTAATTCTGAGAGCCCGAACTAGCTGGTAATGTTAAACAGGAGATCAAAGTCGAGGAAAATGATTTTAGATCTACGGTATATTTAGAGTATATTTTGAAAATGACAAAGCATACTTCGGTATATATAATTTATCGATAATTCCGCGGTGGCCAATTTCTTTTGTTTATACTTTTTACGCGTTAAAATCCAATTAAAATGGCAGAAGAAATTGATGACAATGACTTTTATCGCGAGAACTTTAGCGCCGATTCGGACTGGGAGGTGTTCAATGCCCAGCTGGGCGAAATACTACAGAAATGGGACGTCACTGCCAATGGCGATGTTGGCAGATGTCTGCAGCCCGAGGAACTCTTTCGCTGCAAGTGGCAGGTGGAGAGCGAGACGCTGGATATGCTGAGCAATGGCATTGAGGTGGAGCACTACCAGGCACAATTGGAGCAGGAGGAGGACAGCATTAAGGAGGGGTTAAAGGAGAACAGCTGCCTGCAGCGGACACAATGCCATCAGGATCTGATGAGCAGCGGAAACAGCTTTGGTCCACCCATACGCATCAGCTCCAATGAGTTGCACACCCTGTCCCGAATATATGGTCTGCGGCGCTTCATTGTCCTGCATCCGGTCAAGGCCAGCGTCAACTACATGAAGTCCACGGCGGAGTTTAATTTCTTTCTGAGCGCCGCCGCCGTTGTGGCCGCAGAGGTGGGCAGTGTTGTGCCCATTTTTGTGCAGATCTACGATCCCAAGTGGAACTTCTTCACGGGCGTCTCGCTAGCGCCTGCCCTGAGGACCAACTTCCGCTTGATTGGACTGGAGAAGGCGCCGCCCGAGTGTCGCTACCTGATGGGTCTGCTGACGCTCTTCAGGGAGAAGGTTCCCGCCTCGTATCCGCAGTCTGCCAAGGTCTCTGTCTGCACCACGTACGCGCTGGACACAATGCGCATTCGAATGCCCATGTATGTGCCCTTCGATCATGGCCTCAACTCCGAGGACATTGTAGTGGCTGGAGAAGTGCTCCACGTGGATGTTCAGCACTTTTCTGCCCTGCCACACGGCTATACGCCGGAATCTTGCACAGAGATCTATCTGGTCTACACCTGGCCGGAGCTGTCCGAGCACGTGGCCTTCGACAGCGAGCAGCGGACAGACTTTATACCCTCCAAGGCGCCGCTGGGCAAGGTCTATCTCTCCGTCGAGGCCTCCTCCTATCTGTCATGCTGCCTGCGTGACTACCAGGCTGTGGCCAGCGTCACACGTTCCCTGGAGTCCTACGTGGGTCGCAATTTCTCTGGCACCAGCAGCGGTGCAGAGGCTATCAATCCTTTGGATAAGCTCACAGAACACAAGTTGAGCAAGCGACGGGAACGTAGCTATGAGCTGCCCTCTCAGGCAGGCCTAACGAAGCGCCTGCCCGGTCCAATGACCGAAAGTGAATTGAGAGAACTGCTGGCCTACTTGTTTCCCGATATGCATCCCGACATGGCGCTGTTTCCATACGTCAAGCAGAGTTTCAAGAATAAGGTGAGTGCTCCGCAAAGGAAAAGTCTCTTTGGGTACTCTTATTTATCCTTTCATTTCTTCTTGCAGTTCGATCCCGTGCGCATTAAGAGTGCCGTTCCCGACTCTCTCGTGTGTCGCCTCAGCTGTGTGCTGGCCACAAGCCATGCCCATTCCGGCAGCCTTGAGGGCATGGCCCAACTCTGGGCCGCCTTCACGCGTCATTTGCGTTTGCTCTGGGACAATTCCCTAACCGTGCCCGGGTGAGTTATAAACAAATGCCCCCCGAAATCGTAACAAAAATATGCTTTATTCGGAACTTGATGCGTACGAAACCAACAAAAAAAAAACAGAAACGAAACTTCTGGTAAATGTTCATTCTAGTCTAGTACATTTTGTTTCGCTAAGTGAAGCCGCAAAGTTAACATTTGAATTGGATTTTGCATACGGATAACAATTCTAATGCACATTTAAATATCTTAACGGTAGGGTTCTGTGGTCATTTTCGGTGTGGCCAGAGATCAAGAATTTACTTCTAAGGTGACGTCTTCTCCTTCGCGAACCACCTGCTATCTGCTATCTCTTTCTTGCGCGTGTCGAGAGAGCGTGGTGAATAAGTCAACGTCACCTTATAAATAAATGCACCTTGCTAGAGATGCTTTGCCTGCTCTACCTTTTATTATACACTTTTGTTGTTGTTGTTTTTGGAATGTAGCTGGCAGTATCTGTTATATTGCTCATCTGCGTTGGCTTGGTTTTTTTTCCTTGTGCAACTAAAACTAATTCTAAGCACGTGCTCGCTCTTCTATATCTTACGAGTACATTCTGTAGGATCTCTCCTATATCATCCATACCTTCTCCAGGTGCTAAGGCAGTTGAGTACTTAATGTTTTTCATTCGCTTTCTTTAACACTAAATTTGATTTAACTTTTGTCTCTTAGAATATGTTGCTGGGATTTGGATATTGTTTCCTCTACTTTTACTTTTGCTTGCTTTACAAGTGAAACATTTTTCGTTACATTTAGTTAATAATTATACGTTTTTTCTTTGAATTTATTGCCTAAAGTTTATTGGAATATTTGTTCGGTTGTTTTGTCTAAATAATTGCTCCCGTTTTCCACCTAAATTGTGCTTACAAATCTAATGCTCAAAGCCATGTCTATAACCAATTTTCTTATGCTTAAAATCCAGTAGAATATTTAGTATAGTTGTTTAGATATTTTTGCTTACTTCACTAAGTATTCAGTGCCAGACTTGGGCGTTGCTATTGGATCTCCGCGTGGTGATCCCGCCCAAGGGCACTAAATATTGTTAACTGTCAACTGCGTCCGGACTGGCCCGAACTGTTTGTCCGGGCTCGTCCCTCGATATCGTACGACATCGATAATGCTAAGAAATTAAATCGTTTACAACGCTTAAAATTAGTTGGCATTGGTTTTTGTGTATTTACAAACATGTTTCGGGGGGTGGGGGGATAAATAAAAAAGTAATGCAGTTAATTGTAAAATATTTATTTTTATTAAAAGTACTTGAAAATCATAAACATTATAAAGAAACTTAGCACTCAGAATATGTTTCAAATTGAAGTTTTTTTTGTACACAACGCAAAGAAACCAGTGTTGAAAAACTTAAAAGTGATTTTTAAACTAAAATATTTGAAGGCAGCTTAAAATGGTTTTGGGTGAAAGGAAGAATCTGTTTATGGCTGGGATAGACAAAACATAGAATGAAATATAGAGAATAAAATAAGTGATAAGAAATTGTTTGAGGGGCTGAAAGTTCTAGACTAGAGAATTGTGTTTCGGTTTTTGGGTTCTACTCGTTTTTCAATTCAATATAATAGTGATCGTATCTTATAGTTGTCCCCTTGTAGGAGCCTTTTGCTGTTTATCTGATAGTTATTTATTTACATACATTGCCTATATATTGCGTTTTTGTGCTCTCTCAGCGACTTCTATGCGGTGTCTATCCCAGCATAAAGAAAAATTATTTGCTAAGCCTAAGCCTAACATTAGTTAAACAGATTTTAATAGCTATTAAGTATAATTAGTACCATATATTGACTTAAGTTTTTAGTTCTTTGATTGCTTAACATCTGGTGTGTGTTTGCTTGTTTGCTTCTCCTTTCAACAACTTCAATTGCAAAAGAAAGAAAAGAACTACGGAAATGATTTATTGCACTCTAAACAGCATATAAAAATATCGTATGTGTATATAGTTTATATTTCTACCCCTATATGTAACTCTGTGTGTGTGGTTTTGTGTTTCCATTATGCAAATCTCGAGATGCCGCATGCGACAACAGCAGCAACATTGTAAAGGGGGAAGAATATCAGCATCAGAATTGCACTTAAAGCTTGGCCCTGTCTGTCAGTGATGCTGCCTCAGCCGCAGCCTCAGCCTCAGCAGCCGCTGTCTCAGCCTCTGTGTCGGGCTTGGGTTCGGTGTCAGCCAATGTCAAGTTCAGAGACAAGGCCACATCCTGCCCAGCTGCTGCTTCGTGCTGTTGCACTTGCTCAATGCTTGACATCGAGGTGCTGGCATCCACTTCTCTGTCTGCCTCTGCCCCATCCTGCGTTGTTGTTGTTGTTGTTGCTGTTGTAACTGTGGCAGTCTCCTCCTCCTCGCTTAGACTACAATTACATGTACAATTACAGTTATCACTAAATGTATGCGCCTTATAATTGTTGCTAGTTGTTGTTGCTGCTTCATGATTATTATATAAAATATTGTTAGATGTTGCCATTGCGGGTAACTGTAAACGAAAGGCATTGCTGCGGGGTATGTGACATGTGGCTGCCGTGATGCTGCCACTGTTGCTGCCCCTGTTGCTTGTGGGATGATGATAAATGATTTCCTGACGTTCATATTCGTTAAAATAATTCTCCACAACAATGCCACTTGCTGCCGTAGATGTTGCTGTTGTTGCTGCCGCTGTGGCATCTTCTAAGTTGGCGGCTGTCAACCCAGCCAAAGGCGCATGTTGCAGACTGTTGCTGTTGTTGTTGGGCACATTGCTGTTGCTGTTATGGAAATTGGCTGCTCGAGGCACCACATCGGGTGGCGAGGTGCACCGCTCCGTTTGTGGCATATAGTAATGTAATCGTTGTTGTTGTTGTTGTTGTTGCAGTTGTTGTAGTTGTTGTTGTTGATATGGCTGCTGCTGCTGCTGCTCCAATTGCTGATTGTTTCTATGTCGATGTTGCAGCTGCAAATGCTGCTGCTGTAAATGTTGCTGATGCAAATGTTGCTGCTGTTGATGTTGCTGTTGCTGCTGTCTACCATTTCTGCGCTGCTGCTGTTGCTGACGCCGGCCATTCCCATCGATGGCCGGCGTCAGATATTGTCAGAAAATGCCATCCAAATTTAATACAACATTGAAATATCAGGATAACGTAAGCCGCCCTCATAATGGCACTAAACCGTTGCGCGTTGTCGGATTGCGCGCCATATAAATGTCCATATCGTGATCGGTCCAATTATCCGATGTATCGCAGTAATTGTTCAGCGTGTGCGTTGAGCCCGCCTGCGAGTATCTGTAATACACAGTAAAGTACAGTACAGTCCATCGATTATATCAGCAACCATCCACCCTGCCGCATTGCCCCACGATTTGTGGCAGTAAAAATGTTGCAATCCAAGCGAAATGCAATTAAAATTAATGAAATCAGTAAATTTAAAACCAGGCAGAGGGCCAACCACGCAGTGGGTTAGCAGTGATGAAAGGAATGGCTTCGGAGCTCAACAGAATTTACAGACCAGAATGAAAGTTTGATTTGATTTGAGCTAGTTTGATTTCCAATCAAGGTTGCGAGTGGTGCAATGGGTTAATGGTCATGAAGTTAGTTTTATTAGTGGAAACATTAGCCAAAGTTCTGGAAATACTTCTTCTGCTGTTTAAGTTAGTGAGGGAATGATAGAACTGTTACTTTACTCCTCTTTGCTGATGTAACTTTGACCACTTGGTACCTTAATGTGCCGCCACACCAACAGGTTTCTAAACAAATGCACAAGTTGCCATAATTATGGCACAAATGTGTGCCATAAATTCTCATCAATACAGCTACTTTATGGTTATATCTTTTCTTCCACCAATAGACTGAAACTTGAGTCTGCAACGCACTTGATCAGAAATATCTGAGTGCTTAGTAGTTGACGTTTAAAACTGGATTGTGCTACGCTCCTCAGACATTATCCCAAGCCCCTGACGATACTTAAGAATTGCTAATTAAATTAATTGCCAAACCAAAACGCCATAAACCAAGAAACGTAAAAGTAGAATTGAAAGTTTGTGTGTTTTGTGTTCGGAGTTTTTGGATTAAGCGGCTTTAGATCTCAAGAATGGTGACAGATGGGGGCGAGAGTCTTGCTGTGGTGTGTGTGGCCCCAGTGTCTCGTTGTACTTACCGACTTCCGGGTCGATGGTTATGTATGTGCGTGGCATTCAGCTGATCGCGTGATCTGGAGCGCGGCCGCGAGCGTCTGGCGCTGGAGGCAATGCTGGCGGGTCCACCGCCGCCCACCATGCCGCTCATGGCCATCAGGCTGGTCACGGGCAGGCCGCCGGGACCGCCCATCTGCCCACCGCCGCCCCCATTGCCACCGCCATGGATGGAGCCGGCGTAGGAGGCGCGTGACATGCGCTCCGAGGCAGCGGCCAGGGACTGGCGGGACTGCCGCAGCTCTGGACGCGAGTTGACCAGATTCGAGGGGAAGGCGCTGCCCAAATAGCCGCGATGCGAATTGTTCGAGAAGCTGTGCTGCGACTGGCCATCGGCGATGGAACGACTGTGATGATATGCATGTGTGTGTGTATGTGTGTGTGTGTGTGGCACGAACAAACAATGAAACAAACATAACGAACGAAATATTAAATCATATCTGAATGCCGAAGAACGCCTCATCAAGTATGCAGCAATGGCAAAGCTCAAATGTGGGCCAAGCAAATGTTGGCCAACGCCACTGAATGTCCGCAGCGTTGACTCTTTGATTGGGAAATCCCTACATACATGTCTGTGGGGAGTCTTACCTCGATTTGCCCACTTTTCCAGGCATGCCGGAAAAGTGGCTGCGCATATCATCGGGCTGCTCCACGGGATAGATGCGGGGACGCGGTATGGAACGTCCGCTGTAAGCGGACACTTGATCCCATTCCTGCTGGGGATAAGAGAGGACATAATTGATTATAGTCAGGATAACTACTGGAGAATGTTTGAGTATTATTTGATGAACAGAAACTCAGCGCAATGAATAATTATTATGGGTAAACATTTGTTCCCTAGGGTTCGGGTTGCTTCTTAATGTTCCATTAGTCTCTCTACATTTTCATATATTCAAGTCTTTTTTCAGCTCTCTGAAGTTCTCAAAACAGAGTTTGTCCCCGTCTTATTTCAGTATTTTCTGTCTTACTTCCTTCAGCTCCTTTCTAGTCTCCCTAAAGTCTCCCATTCCTATTGTATTTCGGTCTCCAAAATGTCATTCCATCATTTATTCCCATCGTTTATGGCTCCTTTTTGACACTCTCCTGAAACTTATCGAAGACTTGAACCTTTTAGTGATGTTTCTGCACCACCTTCTTCCCAATTCTTCACCCAACTATGACCATTTTTCGCATTAACTTTTTGGCAGCGCAAACTTGCCAAAAAAACGGAATAAATGTATCCCAAATAATCTTCGGTACTTATATCTATCTATGGTCGGTCTTGTGGTCCGTTTAATTTGTTGAGTGCCGTAAATATCAGCCATCAAATCGCTGTGCTGCCAATTTTTCCACAGTCATGGTCCAAGCATGAAGCCCCGAAGCCCCGAAGCCGCAGATAATTTCTTGGCAGGCTGCATAAAAGTGTAACTAAACCGACTGTGGGGCTCACCTTGTGATTGTTAAATGCCGATAGCGTTGCAATGGAGCCAAGTGGCCCCGGTGAACCGGTTGGACCGCAACAATTAACAGGCAGACCTCCAATTGGCAGTGGACTCTTCTGTTGGCTGTTCTGCAGCTTGCGGGAGCGTCTGCAAGTGGTTAGCAATAAAAAAGTGGGAGATAGAAATTTGCAATAAATAGAGCTCTCTCCCTCTCTGGCGCTCTATGGGTTTGTGGTTGATGAGCTGAGACCAAAGCGAGGCAGAGGCAGAGGCAGAGACAGACCGGGAGGGAGTAGTCCGACAACTTAAGGACCTGCGATAAATCAGGCAACCACTTTCAGCCAGTCATTGGCTTTGTCTGTGGCCCACACCCATAACTCATGGCGGAGACTCTCACCTGCTGGCAGCAATGAACACAATCACGGCCACAATAATGGTGCCGCAAATGGCCGCACTGGCCGCAATCGTTATCTTGTCCATGTTGGAGGCCTGCGAGGCCACGGTGCGCACCTCGCGGCACTGCTGGTACGGCACCGTCTCTGGGGTCACATGCAGCTCCTCCAGCGAGATGACGCACACAATGATGCACTCCTGGGCGGGCACATTCTTGATCTTGAACTCCCGCTCGCTGGCCTCCAGCGGGGGGCCCTGCTTGAAAGCCTTCTCCCCAAACAGGCGATAGACCACGCGGAATCCGAGGATATTTGCGGTGTCCGAGTCCCACTGGATGATCACGGAGCTGTCCTGCCGGAACGCGTGCTTCACCTGCACCTCGTTGGCATCGTCGATCCGTGTGCCACGCTGCGGCGGATAGCCCAGCACCAGCGGTGGCCGCTGCGGCTTGTGCGGTCCCCCATTGTTGTTCACGCCCTGACGCCAGCCCGGCGCCTGTTTGCTGTTTGCATGGACACTCGACGAGGACGAGGACGAGGACGAGGATGAGCTGCTTGTGGTGATGGTGGTGGCCTGGACGGTTCCTGTGCCATTTGCGGAGAGGTTTGTGGCCGCCGTCGGCAAGGCAGTGGTGGCTGAAACATTTGCAGTTGTCTTGGCCGGAAGACGCGTCTGTCCAAGGCAAAGGAAAGAGTAATACAAATTCCCACCATCCTCCTTCTTCGCTTCTGTCACTCACCGTACTGGAACCTTTCGTTGTGGGCTCCTCTGTGGTTGTTGTTGTGGTTGTTGTTGTCTTTGTCGTTGTCGTTGGGTTTGTGGTGGAGCTGCTCACACTGCTGGCCACTGGCGCAGAGGCAGCCGTGCCTGTGCCCGTGCCCGTGCCCGTGCCCGTCCCCGTTTCATACTCCACCGAATCGGGCGATGAGGCGGAGGGGAATGTTGGCTTGAGGTTATCGGCCAGTCCAACTGGACCACGTAGCGCCGCATCGGCAATGTCCGGACAACTCAGCTCTTCGGGCTGTATGGAGTAGAAGCCACGGTCCCGGAAACGCGGTGGAGTGCCACAGAACTGTGGATTGCGCTCACGTGATGTGACCTGCGGGAAAGTTAATGAAACGTACAGCAACAAATTGGTGGCAGATCTCAGCGGAGCTCACTTTCATTTAGGAATGTTGGACAAGAGGAATTCAAAGGGAAAGAAATGTACAGAGAAAGGAGAAGCCAGCAGTAATTTGTATGGCAATTTATGAATTCTCTTGCGAATATCAATCTTCATTTTAAGAAGATTTTTTGAGATTTTTCTGCACATTCGTTGACCACTTTTAGACCTCTTCTCGCTCATTCGAAAGTCTGATGGCTCTCAAAAGAATTTGAATGGACTTTCGCTCAGTGTACCTGCAGGTCCCCGTTGCGTATCCACTCGGCTACCCAGCGCAGCTTGCAGTCGCAGTGCAGGAATCGTCCGCCCAGCGAGAGGCCACGCAGCGTGGCATTGAGGTGAGCAAAGGCGCCCTCGGGCACGGTGCTCAGTGGATTGCCATCGAGGGCGAGCAGGGTGATGCCCGGATTGCCACGGAAGGCGGCCTCCGGCAGGCTGGTCAGCAGATTGAAGCCAATATCCAGGACGCGCAGCTCCTTCAGCGAGTGCACCGCACCGATGGGGAACTCGGCCAGCAGATTGTTGAGCAAACTCAGGGAGCTGAGGGTTTTGCGCACACCCGCAAAGGCCGTCTCGCCAATGCTCTGAATGAGATTACGCTCCAGATTCAAGGCGGTCAGAGCATCCAGGCCATCGAACACACGTATGCCGCCCGCTCCAGGCAGCTCCTTGATGCCGTTCTGCGAGAGATCGAGGAAGGCCAGGCTCTTGAGGCCCCGAATGCATTCGGGCACACGCCGCTGCTTGGTGCCCTTCAGGTTGAGGTTCTTCAGACTCTGTTCGAGTCCGCGGAAGGCAGATGCCGCGAGCGTGACATTGTTGTCGTTCAGCTTGAGGGTCGAGAGCTTGCTCAGCCCATTGAAGGCATCGTCTGGTATGTGGGTGAGCTGATTCTTGGACAGATCCAGCAGATTGAGCTTGCCCAGCAGCCGCAGCGCCTTCACGGGCACATCCCCGAGCAGATTGTCCTGCAGGTTGAGATTCCGCAGCACAGCCTCCTGGCCCTTGAAGGCACCCTCCGCTATCCGCTTGATGCCGCAGCTGGAGAGCTGCACATTGTGCAGGCTCAGATTGCTGAAGATCGCATCCGGCAGCTCGGCTATCGAGGAGTTGTTCACGTACAACAGATCCACGGGCTTCAGTCGGGCATAGGTGTTCATGGCCTCCAGCAGGTCCTCAAAGTTCACCTGCACAAAGTTTATGGTTTGAGGCAAGCATTAAGGATTGGGGTGGTGTTTTTAGGGCATTGCTTACCTGGTCACACTGCACGCTCAGTTCTCTGCCCAGATTGTAGGCACATATGCAGCTGGTCTGCAGGTCGGGCACATCCCGCTGCCAGGGACATTGTGCCGCTGCCTGTACCACCCACAGGAGTATCAGCAGCAGCATGGGCGTCCTTGTCGTCGTTGTCGTCGTTGTGGCTGTCGTTGCTGTTGTTCGGCTGAGTCTCATCTTGGTGCCGGCATAGAGCTGGAGGTGGAGCATAGAGGTGGAGGTGAGAAAGTGAAGGTTGTCTGCTCCAGTTGGGTCATAAATTATCCAATTAATACTGTCGCCCGGGCAGGACCATCTCGAGATACTCCCCGGTGTGTTTGTGTGTGGGTTTGGGTATGGCTTTCCCAATCAGTTTGGCAGGCTCTGGCTCTGGCTCTCTGGCTCTCTGGCTACTTTCAATTTCATTTTCATGCTCGTTAGACAGCAAACAGTGCGTGAAAGGAGAGTGGGCCCAAGGTGGACTGATCCTTGGGGCAGAGTTTAGTTTTGATTAATTTGCCTGTCTGCCTGTCAAACGAGGTGCTTCAGCCTCAGTCACTCAGGCAGCAACAAGAAATAAAAAGGAGCAGAATCCTTTTCAAAGTGCCACCAAAAAAAGTGTTACGCGGTCATTTAATTTAATTTAAATGCATTCAAAAAAAGCCCAGCTCCCTCATGAAACCCAATCAAACAATGGGTGAAAGGTCAGCAAAAAAAGAGGTGAAGCTGTTGACCTTTTTGCATAATCATGAGTTATGATGACACTCGTTTTTCCCTCGGCTTTCTGGCTTGTCATTGTTGCGGCCACACCTTTGTTTTGGTTTGCTGTTCGCTGAAGAGTTCTTTATATTCTCTTGATTACTTTTATTGTTATATTATGGGATCTTCAGGGCGCACAAGAAAAGGTGCAAAAAGCGGTAGAAGTAGTGGCAGATGACGGGTGAATGGACTCGTGGAGTGCTTAGGTAACATTCCCATCCACAAATTAACAATAAACAAAATGAACTTAAATCTAAACACGCATTATAGAGTGTGCGGCTATGGATTGTCGCTGAATGTCCTCAGGGGGGTGAGGTGCAAAGATTGCCAATAGCCTGCCGCGCTTCATTTCCTTGGCCTCCAGTAGGCCCAGTTGATAGATCTCAACATGCATTCTCTTGATCTTCGCTCTCAACTCATCCAGCGTCAGCTTGGACAGACAGTTTGTCCTTTGAATGTCCTCGGAGGTCAGGATGCATTGGTGGTTCGTCCTCCTTCTTTTGCTGCTGTGGAGCCAGCAGTTCCATGCTCACATCGCAATTGTTTAACTTCGCCTCAACGTTCATTTTGGCAGCAGCAGAAAATTTAGGCGCTCTCGCCCTAGGGATGACAAAGGGGTCCTAGGGATGGAAAGAGCCCTGCGAAGTATCGCACGCTCAACTATCGTACAAGAGATATCGATCAAAATATCTCTATGGGCAGTGTTGTAAGTCTTCGAAATGTTGATGAAATGTAATGCATTTAAAGGTCATGATATTTTTATATCTGCTGTTTTTTAACTCCATAAAAATGTGTGCATAATTTTCGCTTATTTTTATTAGCTATTTTTCATTATTTCTCTTACATTTTAGCTGCCTTAAATATTCCCAAAATGCATGCAAAATATTTCCCTGCACAGTTCAATAATCTTAAACATGAGCTGCCGTCTCCCCCTGCCATCTTACATAATCTACGATAAATCATAACAATGCAACTCCTCATTAAATATTTTTCGTGCTGAAGGCAATCATACAATCAATTTGGCTGCCAACAGATTTGCTATCAAAGTAAAAGTTGAAACGAATTTGCAGTTCCATTCGGTGGCAGTGGCAGTGGCAGTTGCCAATTCCGTGGATCATCTCTGGCAGACAAACCGCAGAATAATAATTAAACTGCACGCTCGGCTACATCCCAAAATAATAATCAACATTTTGTCTTTTTGATTGATAGTTTTGTTTGCTTGTGCTCTCGCTCTCGCCCTCGACTTCTTCACGCCTTCGTGCATCCCATAAGATACTGCCCAGAGGCGGTTAGGCTGGATGTTGCAACGGGTTTCGGGGAGGGGGGCAGGGACTGTGGGTGGCTGGGATGTGGTAGCTTTGAGGTTGATGTCTCAATTGTTCGATCCGCCTGACTTCATTTTTCATGGCATTTTGGCTTTTTGCTAGCTGGTTTTTTGTCTCTTCCTTAATTCAAGTTATAAATTGCATTGCAAAAAATATAAACAGATTGGGAAAATGTGAAAAAGGCAGAAAGTATTTCAAGCTTGACTGCGCACTCCCCATTTATCTCTCCTACTTTTTGTCTTTGTCCTTTCTTTGGCTCTATTCCCGTTGCTCATTTCTCATTTCTCACTCAACTGTCTGGCCACAAATTTAATTAAAAATTCTTGCACCATTTTATTCCCTTTCTTTTCACTCACTTCTGCTGCTCCCTTTTGCTCTGTTTCCTTTGTTATTTTCCTTCTGCGTATTAATTGCATCACTAAATTTTTTAATGCGCGAAAAGTGCGAACATTGTGCAGTGTGTGAAGACAAACGAAAAAGAATTGCAGCTACAACTGATGCCAGGGAATGAATGAATGACTGAATGAAAAACGATTCAAGTGCAGTTGTGCACAGTGCACAAAAGTGTTTAAAACAACAACAGAAATTAAAGCCAACAACCGATACTTTCAGAGGCGTTTTTCTATCTAAATATTTTCAATTATTTAATTACATTTAGTTGGAAAAACATCTTGAAATGTATCTGAATATTCTAAAGCATTTAATTTCAATTATTTATGTAAATGGTATGCAGTCATAGACCCAATAGACAAATGGCTTGATCCATTCCATTCAATATTCAACAAAAGAAAACCAAACGATTTAGTTGCTAAATTTTCCATAATAAAAGTCGCAATTGAATAATAATGAATAGAACACTTTTCAAAGAACTCAACCCGCGGTTTTGCTCTTCAGAATCCTTGCAGCTCTGCTGATCTACTTTATTAAAATTCTTTCCAGAACCCTCTACTTGTCGAGGGTATGCACAAAAAGATGCAACTTTTTGTTTTCTCGCCCAAAAAACTTGAAAGGTGCAAATGATTTTTCTCTCTCTCTTCTCTGTCCGTTTCAGGTGTTTGTTGTTGTTTCTTTTGTTGTGGCCGCATAATTATTCACTCTTTTGTTGTTTCTGGTTTTTTTGTCTTCTGTGGCTTTGCAAATTTGCATTTTTAGACAATGGTCCAGCGGTTGATTTTTTTCTTCTATCTGTTTGCTTGTGTTTTCCATCGTCTATTTGGCTTTGGGGCGCATTGGACAAGCGGCAATCTTCCGCCTTCCCATCACACCTCACCGGCCCCAAAAATGTTTTAATTGAAGTTTTATTTAACAAAAGCTTGGGCCTGAGCCTCAGCTCCGCACTTCTCGTGGGTCCTCTGTGGGCGTTGTGCCTTTCGGGGAGTTCTTTTTTTGGGTCACATAATGCTGTTAAGCATTTAAGTGGATTAGAATTTTTCGAAAAGGTAGATTTCTCTCTCTCTCTCTCTCTCTCTCTCTGTGTGTGGGAAAAGTTGTCAATTGAAAAGTTTATATATAGATGGGGGGGGGGTGAGTGCACAGGTTGATAATCTCTTGGGTCAGCTCTCAAGCCAAATGAATTAAATCGGGGGGAGTGGGTTTTCGGCATGGGTCCGATTTTTGAGCTGCGTTGTTTGAGCTTTGGCCTGGGCAAGTTTCCAGCCTTTTTGGGGTTGCATTAATTTGATTTTTGTTTAGCAGATTCCACTTTAGGTGTGGGAGCAGGCACAGAATATTTAAAAAGGTGAAAATTGTGTATTTAAAACGCGTTTTAAGTGGCTGCATTTGATGGAAAAAGAATGAGTGAAAAATAAGTACAATTATGCCTAAAGCTTCTCCTGTAATAGGTCGCTTTTAATGATTAAAATAACTAAATTGGCTGATCCCCGACACAGTCTCAACTTATTATTCAATGAATTTTCGTAGCGGGAAATCCTCCCGCATTGAATAAATTCCAGCGCAAAGAGAAAATCCCCTTTTAAACACAAAGCTGTTCTGGCTTCTGTCATCTCATTCACTATTAAGGACAAAAAACAATTTCCGTTTAACCGCAGCTTATCCTTTTTGGTCGTTGAAGCCAAGTGAATTGTTCCCTCTGTCTCTGGGCCACACAGAAATAAACGTAACTTTGGCTGGTTTATTGGCCCTGAGATGGGATGCTGATGATGATGAGGCTGGCTGTTGGCTGTTGGTTGGCTGCTTCTTCAAGGCATCGACCATAGACATTGAATTAATGACATGGAGCACATTTGATGTTTTTATTTCATGGAAACTAAAATGAAAGTGTCCCGGCTGGCCATGGCAGATGGACCCACGATGGCTGGCAACATTATCAAGTGGTCAACATTGGGTTGGTCAATAAAATGCTGGCCAGCAGCCAGAGGAGCAAGATACAGCCACCCACTGCCCACCCCCCTGCTCGTTCTCTTTGCGGTTGAGTGCAGTTTTTAGCCACTTAAAAAAACCTTTTAAGCAGCTGCTGGCACGCTGGTGTTTCCTCCCGGCCACCAACTAATAAGACAACTTTTATGCAAATGCAAATGCCATTGCAACACAGAAGAGCTCCCGTTTTGGGTTTGAAAAACATCCGCTGCGGTCCAAATAAGTCACTTCCCTTGTGCACTGGCAGAAAAAAAGGGAAGTTCTGAGGGAAAAATCAAACTAAATGTGAAGGGAAAATATACGAAATTCTTGTCATGTTTTGGGATACAAAATGATGAAGTGGAGATGAAAATTTGTAACTTTTAGAAAGAAATCTTGAAAATGTAATAACAGAATCTTAGGGGTTTCATTCTTATATTCAAAATATTTTTTAAGCCACTTTCTTTCATATTTCGAGCAGATCTCTATGAACATCTCAACCCCAAAAGAGATCTCCTAGTTCCTTTTTGGCTTTTACGTTCCCCCAGTGTACCTAGAACAGCAACTTTCAGCTCCACTCTTCCTGTGTGTGTGTGTGTGTGGGTTCAACGCACTCTTTGGTAGCTGAGTCACCGCCAGAGCTCGCCTCGCCTCAAGCTCATTGGCTATGCAAGGCGAGAGCGAGAGCCACGCACGCGTTGACACTCGTGATGAGCGTGAATATCAATTGGTAGGTTGGAGCACATTCGGCTGGGGGAGTGGCAGCGAAGGGAGTGA